CACCAGCTACTCTGGAGGAGGTGGAAGATGAGGCAATGTGCTAACATAGAGGTTTACAGTCTTAAAGACCCAATAGAGCAATTCCACCCTGTCCTCTAAGGCCACCTGGAGTTGGAATGAGTGAATGGGCACACAGCAACCTCAGCAGGGGACTGAGTCAAGGGGACAGATACAGAGGATATAATCCCTCGAAGCTGGACACTGAGGGGAACAGAGAGGACAGGCTGCGCAGCCAAGTGGGGAACAGGGTCGTTCAGAGGGAGAAACAGATCTGGGGAAGGGACGAGGGCAAGCAGCTGGGAAACGTTGACTTTGCGATGGTAATGAAATGCCAAGTGGAAGCCCGTTAACAAGGGCCACCATCTTACCCCATTAATGATATGCCAAGTATTAGGTTAAATTGTTTAGAAATGTGGACATATCCCTGAATCTTCATAGGAAGGTCTACGCCATGAGTAAAATATTACAAGAAGCTTTCCAATAACCAGCCCCACTGAGATAACTGGAGGTCAAGGGCAACTGACAGATTGTGATCACCTGACACCCTTTCCCATTCCCCTATTCTCACTTAACTTTGCAGTAGAGGGTTAACTTTTGCAGTAGAGAGTGAAGGGTGTGTTGTATGCACATGCATCTTGGGGGGCCCAAGTATACCCTCCTGGAGGAAACTTGCTGAGTTACATTTCAAACTGAGAAGGGGGGAGTTCAGAGTCTTGGAATCCACACAAGTGTGAGCCCAGGGTGGCAGGACCACAAAGTTCAGGGTTCAGGCCACTCCATTTCAGGGCCCTGGAGTAGTAATGAAAGAGATGGAGGTCATTATCACGTGAATAAAAGTCAGGACAGAGGAGTGGGGGGACGAGCTCAAAGGAAGTGAGGAGTCACAGAGAGGGGGCGTTTTGTTAAGGACCAGCCATACGCTAACCCGTCCTTAAGGGGCAGGTGAACTGCGAACAAAACCAAGGAGAGCCACAGTTGTTGAGTTACCTTCAACTCACCGCGCCTCATGGGTCCTGAGGCTGTCAGTCGTTATGGAAGCAGACTGCTACAGCCTTGCTCTTGTGGAGCAAGTAGTGGGTTCAAACCAGAGACCCCAGTGGTCAGCATTCAAGTACATAACCACTGTGCCACCAGGGCTCTGAGACAATAGAATGCAGACACGGAAGTCAAAGTCAACTTGCTTCCTCCAAAGTCAGAGTGAAACCCACTTACTTGTTCATGACAAAAAGACCGTTAAACATTAAAAAGGCAAGTAGTCATTTAATATTTAGCTAGAGGGTTTAAAGGCAGCACGTGTATGTGGGATAAAATTATCAAATAATTGCTCTGCTTTTTTAGCTTGGTTACAGGGGTGTGTTCAAATGGTCAAATCTCGGTGAGCCTACATTGATGCCACCTTTTCTTGTATGCATGTCATACTTCAGAATAAAGCTTTAAGACAAGAAGATCAGAAACCATTCGCTCACTGCCATCGAGTTGATTCTGACTCATTTTTTTAAAAAGTCTCAAGAGGTTGGAGCACAGAACAGTGGTGTTACAGGAACCAGCCTTTGTGGGCTCCTCAAAAGATGATGCTTCCCAAATGAGCCCCCTCGTCTTGTGGAAGAACAAATCTCACAGCTACTTTCTCATAGCTGCATACTCCTTACAGCGAGCAGTATTCACCTACTCTTTTTTTATTATTAAAACGTCTTTTTTTATTATTAAACATCTTTTTTTATTATTAAAACGTCTTTTTATTGGGGG